CTGGTAAGACCTTGATTAGCTAGTTCAGGTGTGTTTAATTACAGTTGGAGCTAAACTCTCTAGGACCGAGTTTGGTGACCCCTGGTGTAGTGTATTGTGGAAGTAACATTGAAATAGTTTGAACCTTACTGTAAAGTGTTAGCATAGTAATTAATAATCAGGCTTGGACTTGACTCAATATTATGTATACTTGCTAATGCAGATGGATGGTGACCAGAATCACATTGTACATGCGCTGGCATCAATGCAATAGGCAACAATTTTACAAATCCCACCTCAAGTTTGATGGTGGCTTAAACAGAGCTCAAACCATGGTAAGATGCCAGTGAGATCCAAGAGACTCTGATCATTTCCTGCCACTTCACACCAGGCTAACCCTACAAGTTCCTCTCCAGCCCAGCTCCTGTTTCCTCCACTTCTAAAAGCCCTTTGTCCTCTCACTATACCGTCAGGAAAGCTGCCCAGAGTCATAATTTAAGGCACTATTGCCTGAAGAAAAAAAAAGAGAGGTGAGAAAGGAAGAGGAAAACACATGGAAAGTTTCCCTTTCACCTTTTGTTGCAGTGGAAGGGTTTGCCTGCCACACACCAGGGTCATACACAAACATCCTGTTGCTGATATTTGTATTGTTTCTGTATGTGGATTGGACAGCGTGTGCACAGAGGCATCCATCTGTACATTACCGATAGGTCTCCAGCTTGTATGTGAATGTGCATCTTTGTGAACTGAAATGCCCCAAGTATATCTGGAGCTAGACAGCTGAAATAACGGTGTTGTACAGTGAGAGAGAGAGAGAGAAAAAGAGCAGGAAAAATGGAGGACTGAGTGTGACCTGCTAGCCAGATAAATGCAAAATGGATTAAGAGCTTTGAAAGCAGGCAAAAAACAAGTGAATGAATGTGCAACACTGTGTTCATTTTGAGCAGATAAATTTAGAAGCGTCTTTGATGTGAAAGTGTGTTTAGCAAGTCAATATTTGTCTGCTTTGGTCTGTCCCGAGACGTCCTCTGTCTGCGCACCAGACCGTGAAGCTATCAGAAGAAGCCTAGATATCCTCAGTGTTTATCTCCTTTGCTATTCTTTCTGTTCTCTGTGAAGGCTATATAAATATTAACCAGCTGACTTCTCATTTTCTGATAGTAGAGCGTAATCTATTGTATAGTGTCTGGAAATTCAATGTGCTGCTTATTTCTCTAGCTTTGTGTCTTTGTATACGGTTACAGAAAAAATGTCAAATTTAAGTCGATTAGTGAAAATCCGTATCTATATCGGATATCTATATACGATTTTGCCAAGATATCATCTTGTAAAGTGGCCTTAGTTAATCACATTTTAAAGTGTGATCTTTCTGTTCTTCAAAGCTGTGATGCCTTATTTGCAAACAAATGACTCTTATGAATGGTTTTTCTTAATGATTCAATTTAAATGATTCATTAAACAGACTCCTGATACTGAGTTTGCAATTGACTCCCTCACTGCACTGTGGATAATTTTTCAATTAGGCTAATTGAAAATGGACACAGAACCGTTACCGTGATGTGTACTTCAAATTCGTCAGATTTAACATCAGATTAAATTTTGCCCTTTTTTTAAAAATAAAAAATCATCATATTTAAGAAAATGTTTTATATA